GGGGGGGGGAAACAGACAGGTCAAGGGGCCACAAAGGACAGTGGGATGTAATTATGTAAAATCCAAATCTAAGCGAGAAAGGTAGGGAGACCCTGCAGTAGTTCTATTCAGCTAGTTAACACTTGTAATGGGTAAGGGGGAATCTCTGGTTTTGCTATTGTAGTTAACATGTGAGATTTAAAAAGAAAAAGAAAACACCTTCAAGTCTCTGTTGAACTGAGGGACAGGAGAGAAGGAGTGTAAAGAAAGGATGGATCTATAACAAGAGTGATGATGTTATCTGGAGGGTATGACCAAAAAATAGACAGCAATCAACAGCTGCCTATGGTAGGTCTCTGAAGATACCTACTGGGGTTTCCACCTATTTTCTGACAGAGAGGCTGCACGTTTAAGAATGCACGAGAAACAGAAAGTCAGCAACTAAAGCCTTCCTCAGTAGGGATATAGTAGAGTGATGGGGGGGGGGCTTTTCTATCTATCCAAACAGGAATGGAGGAAGGAGATATCAGGAAGATGATGTCTTGGATTTGCTTTACACATGATAGTTGTTACCCATGAATGGTGGCAGAATTAAAATTCCTGCCATATGCCACTATTTTTTTCTTATTAGGAGATTGTTTCCCTCTAAAAGGACCATCTTTAAGATGTGGGATGCTGTGGTATAGCCTGATCTCATCAGATCTCAGAAGCGAAGCAGGGTGAGTTACTTGGATTGGGGACTACCAAGGAAGACTGTTGAGGAAGGCTATGATAAACCACCTCTGCTACTCATTTGCTTTGAAAATCCCTTGCTGGGATCACAATAACTTGGTTCAACTTGATGGCACATACATAAATAAAAGGAACATCCTAAATGAAATTATGATCTTTCAGTAACCTGAAAGAATAGACAGATTTTTCATAGCCTTCCTCTGTCTCTAGCCCTAACCTGGATAGCCCAGGCTAGGAAGATATTGTCAAATCTGACAAGCTAAGCAGGGTTGGATGGGAGACTCCCAAGGGTTGTTAGGCAGAGGCAGGCAATGGCAAATCACTTCTGAATGTCTCTTGCCTTGAAAGCCCTACAGGGTTCCATAATTTGGCTGTGACATGACCCTGCTTTACACACACACCTCTGTCTCCCTTCTACAAAGCACACAAGTGCAAAGATTTGTATAGGTGTGTTTCTCTAAGCAGTGAGAAGATCCAGGAGCAGTAATACCAGATCTCAGGTATGTCTCCCTTTAGGACAGAAAAAAAAGCACAGGAAACTATCAGTATTCTTGCAGTGCATACTTCATTTCTAAGTAGAACACTGTTAGAGGCATCCAAGTCAGTCAGTCAGTCTGTCTGCCTGTCTATCTGTCAGATTTATACCTTGCCCTCCCCTACAAGCCAGCAGATCCACTACCCCACATCAGATCCTGCACCTTGTAACAAGCTTCATTTTCCAGATAGCTTTTACTCTCTCTGCTTCTTTCTCTGACCCAGATCCCAAGTTTGTCCTTTTTCACACTTACCCGACCCTTAGGCTGTGCATGGGAGAGACCTTCTCCAAGTTCTAATGAGTCCTTGAACAGGAGGGATCATTTGAAACCATCTCCTGGCAATCAGATCTCATTGAGAAATTAGAGCCATTAAGGAACATTAACATTCTTCTTTGGGAATGCACCCTTACTGATAGACCCATGCATGCTGATCAGACAGCTATCTCACAATACTACATGTCTTGAGTCTCAGTGAAAAAGGTGGACTATAAATAAATTCAAGGCATTGATTGGATCTAGTTAAGTGACAGATTAGCCAGCATGGTTCAGAGGGTGTTGTTATATCAAACTCACAGACTTATCATAAGGAAATTTCATACATTCAGGGTGATAATGACAAGATAGCTCAGATATTACCTTTTGACATAAATAGACCTAGGACAAAACTTAGTTTTGCCCACCAAATCTTCCACTTTCAGAAATGGATGAATTACGCAGACATAAAATTTGATAGTAAAAGTGTCAAAATATTATCATTGGAAGTAGCCTGAAAATTAATCTTTAAAAAGCTGAGCTATTTGTAGCCTTAAGCAGGGTCAGTTGTTTGTCAATCTGTTTCTATTTAATGAGGCACAACAAAACAATCCCGAAGGAGTATGCACCAACCACTGCAGAGCAGTTCTTCAATATGCATATTTATCCACGTACTAGTGCAACATCCAGATATTTCTTTATCCATTGTGGGATCCCTAAAAAAAAATACCTTGGCAGACCTGTGTTGGGTGTTACAAGTCAACACTTCAGTATTTACAGGGTTAATGATGTTTGTTAAGTTACATGTTTGTTTGTAACCAATCTGTTTAGACAATAGGATGCTCGGGAACTTCAGAGATAATTTGCTACTCTGATTGGAAACCAAGGTGTCAAGTATTTAGCATATTGGCTTCTCCTCCCATTCTTTGTTCTGACAAGAGAAGGAGACACCATTCGGCTCTTCCCGTTTTTACCTTTTAGCTGCAAAGATGTAGGCATATTAGCTCTTTGTTATTTTCATATCCTGTGTACCTTTTTCCCATGTTAAGTTTATAGTAAACTTTTATATTTTAAAACACACCATGGGCTCAGTCTCTTAATACTCTGCTGACTTACTCAAAAAGAATCCCAACAAAGGTTATGGAGCCCAGATCCGCTCCTATCTGCGCAGAGGTGACCATGTGTGTTGAGTTCACTTAGAAACTTTTAAGAATAGCACAGACGATTTTTTTTGGAAACGTTTTCTGGATTAAGTGGGAGCAGAGAAGAGTTTTTTCCATTTTCTTGAGCTTGTCTAGCCATTGCAGGCAGGACAGAAGGGGAGAGAAGATTTGTGTCTATACTGCTCTACGCGAAGGGCTGCATCGTGCTGCTGGAAGAGGGAGATCAAAAGGAACTCCGCTTAACTCCGCGCTGCCCAGACTGCCTGTTTGCCGGTTTGCCTCTGTTGAAAGGATTGGTAAAGTAAAAAATGGCTTCTCCAAAGAATCTGTCTTTCTTCAATATTCCACCTTTATCTAAAACAAATTACAACTGGTGGAAGGGATCAATTGAGTGTGCTCTAGAATCTCAGTCTGCTTTGCATGTACTTACTAAGGACGCTCCTGCAGATGATCCACAAAAAGAGATATTTAAAGAGAAAGATGGTTTTGCAAAATCTTTAATCCTTGGGAGCGTTATTGCAAGTGACAATCAAAAGCTTTTAACGTGCAAATCTGCAAAACAAATGATAAACCATTTAGATGAAAAATACAATGGAAAATCGAGAGCTAACACTCTCTTTCTCCTTCAACGTTTGTTTAATGCAAAAATGAGAATTGGAGACTCATTAACTGCACATTTGAACAAAATCATGGATACTTTTAATGATCTAAAGGCCATAGGAAGCCCACCAACTGATGATTCTGTTATTGCTGTAATTTTGGGCTCATTAACAAAAGACTATGCTCAGGAAGTTGTGTTCTTGAAGTTAGTAGAGAAATTAACCATTGATTATGCAATTTCTTATTTGGAAGCTGAGGGGAATAGAAGGGAAATCTCCCAGCTCGCTGATAGCATGTCGGTTCTTAGAGTGAAGCCTGCTTATCAAAGAGGAAATGTAAAGAAAGATGTTAAATGTTTTATATGTGCAAAAACTGGTCATCTCGCCAAACA